TATTAATAGAAATAATACTGGACAAAGGAGTGTGATCCCTTTTGATACAAAATAAATTATTTGTCAGTTGAGTGAAATGAATGTTCAAATGCTGTAAATTTTTTAAAAGAGCTTCTAAAAAACTGGAATTTCTTGTTAGAGTATATGATAAGTTCTAAGAGATAAGTGGATTGTCATGTAAATGATGTTAAAATTGAATTTGTCTAAGACGAATTCTGAAGGTATTAGTAGTAAGATTATTTTGGTTGATCAGTTTGATGAAATGGTCATATTTTGCCTGCATTTGAATATCATAGAAATCTCTATAAGTATATGTTAAATTGTGTCTAAATATGCTATTTGGTAAATATTTGTTTATTCTCGATTTGTGTTTAATAACAGCTCTAATTGGTGCGTATAATTTGTTACATTCAGCTTTAGAAAGAAAAATTAATTTTTATCTATATTCTAGTCTTGGAATAAGAATAGTATTATTTAAATATAAAACCATTTTATCAGTTATGGATTTAAATTTAATTTTAAGAACAAAGTCGTCAATAATATTCTTGAGTTGATTGATGATAAATTTTTTGTTGTTGTCGATACTAATCCAGACTCCTAAATATCTAACCGATTCAGATTTATAATATGTTGGAATATTGATTGATTTTCTGGTAGTAGGTAGATTAAGAGTGATATTTCGATTTTGAATGGGTAACGTCGAAATTACAAAAGATTTTTCTAAATTAACTTAAATGTCATTTAATTGATAAAAAGTATCAGCTATATTAATAATTTTTTTGAGGTTGGAAATGTTATTTGAGATCCAAATAGTATCATCTATGTAAGCAGTAGCAGCAATATTAACAGAGTCTGATATTGGATTGGGATTGTTAAGGTTAGGAAACCAAGTTTGAGATAGGTTGTATCCTAGATTCAATTTTTGGATTTTATATAATAATGGGTCATAGTACATGATCTATAAAAGAGGAGAGATAATTTCACCTTGGTCAATACTGACTAAAATATTGTATTCTGGTGATAAGCTATGTTGTGTGTAAATTTTATTTTTCCTGTTCAAAAAGAGATTGATGATGATATTAATAAAATTAATAGGAATTTTTAGCTGGGATATGGCTTTTTGAAGCATGTAGACGTTTATTCTGTCATATACTTTAGACATATCTTGAAATAGGATGAATAGATTTTGAATAGGAACATGATTCTTCAAAAATTTGTTTCTTCAAATCTCAGATCTAGATGACTCCAGAATATTATTAACTATATAAAGTGAATCTATAGTTGAATTATGCGGAAGACCTGCAAAGTTTAATCCTTTTAGGATTTGATGCTCTATACATATTTTGGATAATCAATTCGTTAAAAATTTGATGTAAATTTTTCTTGCTGTTTCTAAAAGAGTAATTGGCTTAGTATTATTAAGATCACATTACTATGGTTTGGGTTTAGGTATTGGATAAATATAAGCTAATTTCCATCCTGTAGAAATGTCTTGCAAAATTGTACATATGTGAAAAATTTTAAAAAGCAAGTTGAAAGCATTGGTATTAAAATGTTTAATAAATTCATAAGAAATGCCTGAAGGTCCAGTAGTTTTATCGGTTGGAAAAGAATTGATCAGTTGAATCCATTCATTAAAGTCAAGAATTCTAAGAGTGAGAAGTAGCAATTTTCATCAATATGATCTAAACTATCATAGTCTTGTTACCATTGATTCCAGGAAGGATGTGATTCTTTTTTTGAGTTTATTGAGTTGGCAATCTTTTGAAAGTAATTACTAGTATGTAAAAGAATATTAGAGGGGTCAAGCTCTAAGTATGATTGATTTTGTATGTCTTTTATGAGGACTCTATCTAGTATAATTAATGTTTTTCTTCTTTCAAGACAGGAATCAATCATTGCCGATGGATTATCAGTGAAATTGTTTACTCATTGATATATAAAAGAAGCAATACATTGTTCATCTTCTATTTTGTCCAGAAGTTTGATTTTTGATCTATAAAAAATAATGGCTTCTTTGAGACTAGTTAGGAATGTTGAAAAAGATTTATTATTATATGCTGATTTGATGTCATAGGTAGGAATGTTTTGTTCTATTAATTGATTAACAATATTGATATATTTATTGTGATTGATTATATTAAAATATATATTATGATTGTAATCTTTGTAGCATTGGTGATAGAATTTATTGATTGTTGAGAGATTTATAAGAAAACTGATGATTATATAGAAAGTTGATCAATCTTTGATTAGTAGAAGTATGTTTAGGAAGGGTATTGCGGACTGCTTGAATAATCAAACAGCTGAAGGAATCCCATATGGAGTTAAGATCATTATGAGAAAAAGTTTAAGAATCATCATTTAGAAAACGCAATAAGGGGTTATGAGAAATTAAATTATCTAATTTAATCGAGAATTTGTTCCAAGTTTCTTTAGAAGTTTTATCATACAGAAATTTGGTTTTGGTCAATTTTTTTTGTTTGAGCAAAGCGTTAGATTTCTGATGAAAGATATTATTTTTGTAGAAGAAAGAAACCAATGGAGTATGATTAGATTCGTAATTGTATGAGTAAGTATTTAAAGAAGTTGAAAAGGTAAGATTAAAGATGGTTCTCATAATTATTTTTAAAATTTTTAACTAGTTGCAACTTAAGTTGCAACACTTTGAGTTGCAACATTTTATGAATTTTTATATTAAAATAAATTTACAAGAAATTGCAACCAAGTTGCAACTCAAGTTGCAACTTACCGAGTTGCAACTTCTTAATTATGATGCTCATCTTTTAAGGGAGAAGGAGGAAAAAAGATAATCAAGGGAAGATGAAGAGTTTGTAGAAGAAAATGGTTGATAGGCAGGATTGATTAAAGATTTTTAAATTGTTCATTAAGCCAAGATTTTTAAGTTGAGTAAGGAAGTATTGGTATTTTTTTTGTCTTGATGAAGAATATTTGCATTTTATATCAATATTAAAATCATCCATAACAATATGATAATAATTTTTTGATTTAGCTTCTAAAATTAAATTGAGAATTTTTTGTTGTATTTTAAGTCTATGTTAAAGATAGAGCTGTAATTAATCTTAAAATTTTTAGCTAGTTGCAACTATTTATAAATTTTATATTAAAATAAATTTTGCAAGGAGTTGCAACTTATCGAGTTGCAACTTCTTAATTACAATGCCATCTTTAGTCTATGTTGATGTTCAGAAGTAGTGTGTGTATTGGAAGGAAGGTAAATTTGAATGATTCGAAGTTTTCGTTTATTTTTCATTTGAAGATCTATGAAAATGATTCTGTCATAAAAGCCTTGATAATTTAAAATATATTTAAAAATAGAGGAATTGATAATAAAACTCACCTTTTGATAATTTTGTAAATGATTTTCATTTAATAAAAATATTTGAATGGAAGGTCGGGTGATTTGAAGTTATTGTAAATAGCAAAAGATTATTGCATAGTTAAGTGAATTTCAGAGAAACCGAGAATATCAAAGTTATGAAGTGAAAAAAATTGTTAAATTTGATTTCTTTTTTCGTTTGAAATACAGTTTCTAACGTTATGAGTTGCTATTTTAAAAAATTTATTCTCTTCACTTAGCCTGTGAAAGAGTGATATGTTTGATTATTGTGTAGTATTCATTGGGAATTATTAGAATTTGTTTGTAAAAATTGCATCATAGCGTCTTTCATAATTTTAAGATTATTTTTGGAATCACTGAAGTTGTTTTGTAATATGGAAATTTGTCTTTCTTGTTGGTCGATCGTTTGGTTATGTGACGTAAATAAAGAATATGATAAAATGGGAAGACAATTCTGAACAGAAACGAAATCGTTTGGAGAAAAGTAATCATTTTCATTGAGAGCAAAATCGTTTGAGGATGTATTATTAAATGGAGTTAGATTGCTGATGTGTAGTTGATTTTCTATAGTTTCGACTCAGTTGATAGTATGAAGTTAGATTTGTTTTAATTTGACGCATGCGTTCTGAGTTTTGATCAATTCGTCTTCTAATAATTGAAATTTATGTTCCAAGGAAGTCAATTGTTTCATCATTGATTTAATAGCTGTAGCAATAGTTGAAGGGGGGTTTGATTCTGTTTACCTGGATGGTTTATCTGATTATCATTTCTATTTTGAATAGAGTCAGAATAAGAAGGTCTTTTGATTGATTATTTGACTCGAGATTACGTGAGATATTCGTTCTTGGGTTGAAAGGTTTAGGTTTATATTGAGCTGGTTTGAAGGATTAGGACGAGGGCGATTGTCACATGATTGAACCTCGTGATCTGGGGAGCCACAAGAATTACAGTGCTGAATTCCAGGAGTAATCCAAAATAAGATACGATTTTTGAATTTTTGTTGTATGTTAAAAGCGTTATCATAAACATCAATATTTTTAAAATTAATATATGCATATGGTCTGAGACGATATTATCTGTCTCCTGCAAAAGTCTTAATGCGGGCTGACGTGACATTTTTTGATGGGTACGCAGGGGAAGTCCTATTCATGCATACTGCGCAATTTGGATCCAATGGATTACCAATGGATCCGAACCATTGGATCATTTAGCTATTGAAGTCCAATGGATCCCAACCCTGGTCGAAAGTGTCAAAAGCTTAATAAAATCAAACAAGGGGTTTAGACGTTCCGACAATCAAAATAGGATTCGTCAGGCAACTATATATTAACGCTTAAAACATTTGAGCACTAAACAACGAAAAAATTAAAACTATTCGTAGAATTAGGCGCGTGCAAAATCTCTCAAATTCAAAAGTTTGTATTTACTGCGCTAAACATCGAATGTCATACAAACTATTTAATTTATTTAATTTAAACATTATACTGCGTTTCATGACCATTTTAATTAACATCAGGAATAAATTTTAAGATATAGAGATATTGCGCATCTCGTAAGTACAGTAAAATTGAAGATAAAAAGTAATTATTTAAACATCATGATGGGGAAAAATGTCACAAATGGTGAAACTTGCATCATATTACTTGTGAATGTTATAAGTCGTTATACCGTATGGTGGAGTGATGTTGCTGTTATTGTAATGATTGTAATTAAAATTGGCAGGAGGCAAATCGTTTCCTTCCACTTCCTTTATCACATCATCTGCTTTCAATCCTTTCAAGTATTTTACGTCTACTACATACTCTCTCAAGAAAACTTCTAAGGAATGAACACGACGTTGTAATGCTATATGTTCTTCACGAGAAATTTCTCGTGAAGTATTTGATATTTCAAGATCGTTAACTAGTGGGATTACCGGAAGTTCTTTTCGAAGTTTATTATGCGTTCTGTCACGTAATCCACAACTATATTGCACACAACCCCAAGGGCGAATAACGTTTGTTCCTATTTACAAAAAGGAAAGCATAATTAAAGTCAATGATGAATTAAAATTTGAATTTAAAAGAAATCAAGTTGTAAATTTATTACCAAATAAAAGCACGTATAACGCCGAGGCTATACCGTAAGCACCGCCCACGAGACCAACTATGCTGAATACCTATTTTAAATGGAATAATGGTTTAAATATATTCAACTTGAAACAAGCTTATCACATTTTCCTTACAGTTCGTGTTCTAAAATATTGACAAAAATATTGTTAATAAATGATTTCGCAGAAAATTTGTAATTTTACGCATGTTATTGGAAATGATCCATACTTTTGTTCAGTCTCTACTTTAACGAAGAAATATTGTACATTCAAAAGAATTTTACTACTAAAGACTCCTGCGATTAAGGTATCTGGTTCAATAGGTTCAGTCTCTATTTACAAAAAAAAAATAAATTATGATGGCGGCGTTATAATTACAATGATCATTATTCATTTATAATATTACTTACGTAGATTTGACAAAATGTAAGGTTTTTCTTCATATGTTGGAGAAATTCCAAGATTAGCTTTGTAATCTTTATGGAGTATCCTCCTTAGTTGCCTATTAAAGCTTAAACGTGCCATCTAAATAAGTAAATAATTTTTTTTAAGGAAATATTTATTTTTTTAAAAAAAATAAAATGATTTTATTAATATCAAGCTTACCTGTCCTTTAGGCACATAGTACATATTATTTGTGATACATTCTCTAATATTGTTAGGCAAATTATCAATAGCTGAGCCATTGAGTTCACCGTTTGAGAGCTTTAGAGGATTTTTTTCTATATTAAAAGCATTTTTTTATTTGTCAGCAAAAAAAAAAACATGATAATTATTAATTAATTACCAGCATCAATAATTATTACTAGTGGCGATTCGGACTTAGCAATAGCTGCATCTACATCTATCGATACTGCTACAAATGCTATGGCATTTGGATCAATATTTGGATCCTCGTAATTTAAGACATTATCATGTGTGAAGTAGCCATAATAATCATCATCATCTTCGGCATGCTTTGGTTGGGTTAAATATTGATTACAACTATCATCCGATATTACATCATCTAGCGCTATGTCAATCCCTCCTATTTTATAGAAACTTTATTTTAAAATTCATGTTTGAAATTTCTTTTGATAAAAGGGTTACTTTAAATACTTACGATAAAATTGACAACTTAATGTGAATGGGGTATGTAAATTAAATAACATCTCTAAAACAGAAATTATTTAATAAAAATATTTACGTGGGTGGGTTTTCTTTCGCGAATACTTACCTGGAACTGGTATTTGTGGTGAATCTTTAGTCATATGCTGCAATACTGGATAGTCATGTACCAAGTATCTAACCAAATATGCAGTATAAATTAAGAGGAAAACTGATAGGAATGTCAAACTAAATGCTCTTATAACAAAAATAGTTATGGGTTCCGTCTTTCGACGTCGAGAGAAAATTTCATCAATAAACATTTTCTTTTCTTTTCTTCTTTTTTTTATTTATTTTTATATATATTTTTTTTTTAAACAAAGGATTGGAAATAAATTGTTTGAAAATAGAAATTTTGTTTATTTATATTAAATTTGCTGCGCTAGGATCTTGATGATTTGGGAACGGTTATAATCAAATTAAAATATTTCAGCCCAATCATTGATTGGTGTCACAAATAGATCCACAAATTTGAGCGGAAGTTCATTCAATCATGTTCAAAAATTCAAAAAATCTCTTAAAATCAGAAAGCCTAATGATTGAATAGTTCCGCAGCATGATTTTTGTACGTACTAACCCATATATGTATTACCAAAAATTTTTTTGTGTTAACGAAAAAAAAAAGATTAAATATTTGCTGTGCTACCTTTCTTACCAAATTTTGCTAAATTTCTAATTTCATTCGTTAAATTTTTGCTTATTTTTTGCTTAGTTTATTATTTTTATTCTTATTAACCTTCTTATTAACCTTTTTAAACCTTTTTAGGCTCTTTAGCCTTTTTTGGCTTTTTTGGCTTTTTTAGTGTCGTACGAGAAATATTCCGTTTTATATGTTGTTTTGTTTCGCTATGCTTTGCTATGCTATTTGATATATGCTATGCTTTGCTATGCTACATAATTTAGCTTATGCTAGCTTTGCTATGCTGATCACATTTGCTATTTTGTTTGTTGTTGCTATGCTTTGCTATGTTATGCTATGCTATTGCTAAATGCCCTCACAATTTTTTTTCTTCATAAAAAGGTTCTTTATATAGAAAGTAGAAAAAAAATTTTTTTATTTGAATTGAATAAATAATTGAAATAAATGTTTGGTAATACAAAATATAACTTTTGGATATAATATGGTTAGATTATTAGTTAATATTAATGAATGAACCGATTGATTTGAAATCAAATATGTTAGGCTGAACTCATTTTAAATTAGATCATAATGTAAAACTCAATAATTGTAGATAAACTGGCTAATATTGGCGAATTGGGCAGGACCGATTAACTTAAAAACAAATATTTTAGTCTGGATGTATGGATTGGATCGATTTAGATGATTAGTAATAATAAATTTGACGTTTGTTTTGATTATTAGTAATAATTTTTTTTTGTAAAATTGCGATTATGTAATAAAGGTTCATGACGAGATTTGAAATAAAAAAAACCCATATAAGTACCTTGAATATTGATTGATAAATTAAAAACTTGATTTAAAAAAAAAATATGTCAGCAATTTTGTCATCCATTGTTTTTATTAAGAGTGTAAGTGGTGAAAAGGTTTCAACAGGAATTGCCTATAGTAGAGCAGATAATGAAGAATTTGTGAAGATTAATTTCAAAGTATTCAGAAATAATAATGAAAACATGATTCAAGAAATAAGAGAAAATTTGATTATGTTGATGATTGGGAGATTTTTAAATTCTACCAAAAATGATTATGAATATCGATAAGTTTATATAATTTTATTTAATTTATATGTATTATTAAAATTTTGTTTGTTTGTTTATGAAATAACAGATAATTTTTATTTTTTCATTAGTTAGTATTGAAGAAATTTACGAAAAACTAATTTTAAAAGAAAAAATAAAATCTACCAATTACACTTTTCTCTAGATGGTTTAAATCATAAAAAAAAGAGATAAGAGCATGAAAAGTTGAAAATACCAAAAATTTAGATTTCTTGTTTGTTAGATAATTATTAAAAAGTAAAAGACGAATTATGTATCTTTTGAAGGTCTGTTTGTTGATTCATTTCTTCTTCACAATTATGTATATTTTTTTCATTTTTGTTATTAAAATTATTGATCGTTCAATTAATTTTTCAGATCCTTTTGTTGAATCTTCTAAAGATGTTCTTTTTGATGTTGTATTTGAAACAGATGGTGTTAAAGTTGAACTTGATATTGGTCGAGTTGAAATTGTTGAGTTTGTTTTATTTGTTTTTTGTTTTTTGTTAATTATTTGTTGTTCAAATTTTAATAAATTTTCCCTTTTTGGAGATCTATTACTTTTTTCTCCTTTTTGTGCTATGGTATTAGGAAAAGACCACTTAATTTCTGAACAAATGATTTGTACAAGGCTTATTCCTATGAATAATTCTCTCACAACTGAAAATATTGCTGAAGATTTCGTTGATTCTTTTACTGAAGAATGCCTGCTACTCAATGTTGAATATATGCATGAAACTATTAGTTTATTTACTATTCCTGTAAATGAGTTATAGACGTTCCTTTCTAAAATAAAGTAATTTTGGTCTTCATCTTTTGGTTTTACTAGTATTTTACATGGTGGTGAAGTAAAAGATCCAAATAATGATGCAATAAGTAGATCATACATATTCGGTTCATCATCTGTTGTTTTTAGATTCAAATTTGTTGCTTGAATTACCATTATCTGAATATAAAAAAATAAGTTAATAATTTTTAAATATTTTAATTAATTATAAAAAAAATATATTTAAAAATAATAAAATTCTCATTACGAATAACTCAGATTCATATTCCTGTCCTATTTTTTTCTATAATAAAAATAAACAAAAAATAAATTAAATATACTTTACAAAAAAAAATTATAAAAAAGAAATAATAAATAATACGTACCAAAATATCAAACTTTGCTGTTTAATAAAAAAATAATGAATTATCAACAAAAAATTATCAATTACCCTATCCCTTCAGATTTTGCATCATCAAACCATATTAATGATCCTTTATTCTTGTCATATATTAATCGAAACGAAATAAATCAGAATCTATCAAATGTATCGTTAAACAATCAAACTAACCATAATTTACTGAATTATGACACAACTTTTTTATTGTGGTCTCCTTCTGAAATTTTTAAATTACTTCTAATAGAATTTAACGATAAAATTTTGTATGATTACCCTTCAATTCCTTGCGCTTACTGCTATATTTTAATGATGAAATCATCAGCTAAATGGATCGATTTACTAATTTCTATTGGTTCTTCTATTAACTTTTAATTTACTTTTATGGGTTACAAATGATTTTCCTTATATTAATTCTGTTTTTATTCCGATTTATTACTTTTCCTTCTGTATTACTATCTGATTTCCAGTCTTCTCTAATATAACTTCTTTGTTTTATTATTAACTTCTGTTTATTTTTCTTCCGTCTTTAATGTCTTTACTGTTTCTGTCTTCCGTGTAAGTTTTGTTTCATTTTATGAGATCATATATAACCTTTATGTTATACACAAGCTTTCATAAGGTCCAGTTCGTCATTCCCACCGATTGTGCCTTTTGTGTAACCTTTTTGCATCTTTGTGTAACTTCTTTAATTTGTTATTTTTTAAATATTTTTCAAGTCTTTTTACAGAGGGTACCCAAAAGTTTCTGAACGATTTTTCATTTAATATAAAACGGAAAATTTTAATACATAAATCTTTAAAGCTTAATTAATATTTTATTTAGAGCAT